CAGCAGGTAAGATACCAGGGTTGGGGCTGGAGCAATAGCACAGCGGGTAGGGCGTTTGCCTGGCACGCAGCCAACATGGCCGACCCTGGTTCGATTCCCAGCATCCCATATGGTCCCCCGAGCACTGCCAGGAGTAATTCCTGAGTGCATGAGCCAGGAGTAACCCCTGAGCATCGCCGGGTGTGACCCAAAAAGCAAAAAAAAAAAAAAAAAGAAAGATACCAGGCTTGTTCACAGCCAACCCAGATTCAACCCTTGGCATCACATATGGTCCCCAGAGCCCCCCCCCAGAAATTATCTTTGAGCACAGACCCAGAAGGAAACCCTGAGTCCCAAGTATGGCTGGGTGTGGCCCACTAATCCACCACCCCAACCGACCCAGGCACCCCCCATCCAAAGAAAAATAAAAAGAAAGAAAAAGAAAAAAGAAAGAAAATAAAAATCTAGAAGTAGCACAAGGATATTCCTAAAGTAAGGAACATAATGGCTTCATATAATGGCTTATCTGAGATAATAATCGGAGATGAATTCCCCCAAAGTTCCATTCGGAGATGCTACACTCAGAGAAGTCGAACCAATTTAGAAAGCCTCAGAGTGTTAAATTCTATGAATGTTCTGGCCCCTTTTCAATTTTCTGCATCAGGCTAAAGTTGCTTTATTTTTAAAATGTACTTTATAAAGAGAAAATGGGGCTGAGTCTGGGTGCTGCCACTAATATTCTATCATCTTTCAAATATCTTTGCAAGGGCTCCTGGCTTCTGTGCTCAGAGGTCACTCCAGGCAGTGCTAGGGGAACTTGCAGTGCTGGGAATCAAACCTGATCCCCCCCCTCAGATGCAAAGCCTGCGCTCAGTCCCTTGAGATCTCTTCAGTTCCTCCCTCCAGTATCTTCCTCAGAGTGCATTAAGTTCTGTCAGGTGAAGTTGTCCCAAAGCGGGCTATCCTGTCCTCCTGGGCCCCTGGGAGAGGGTGTGTTTCTGCATGTTGCTTCAACATAGTGTATGTCATGGGTGGGTATGGTATGAACTGCTCTTTTACTAAAAATGGGCAATCAGCCAAATAAATTTGAAAGACTCTAGATAATTCTGACTTAAATGATAACCAGGTGACTCTGAAAATGGAGACAAACATCTAAAAATACTTCCAAAATTACTCTAAGATGTGTTGGCAGAATAAACTTTAAACTCTAAGGAAAACAAAGCAATGTAGACAGGTTTAACATCATGGACCACGTGTGACCCAAGGTGCTCCAGGGTAGGGTTTGACTAACGCATCTGTCTGACAGTCTGTGGCTTCCCCTTCTTCCTCCAGCCCTCTAGCCCTGCACAACTCTCCTCAGTGTCCAGCTGAGTCTCACTAATGTGTTCCAGCCCCGTTTTTTTCTTCTTAACTATTTCACACTTTCTGTAGCACATATCATGATATCATCAAGCAACATGTTTCAATTAGGAAAATATTTGGTTTAGGAGGTCTGACTAAAACAACTAAGCATTAAAAAATAACGATTTCTTCAGCTCACAAAATCCCCCATCAAATTTTTCATAAAGCAGCAATCTTCAAGAAATATGTCTAGTTTTCAGTCAAGAGAATGAAGAAGTGCTTGCATAATTTACAAAACATCTCGAAAGTGATTTCCAAATTTGGCATCCAAATTTTCTACAGCTAACAGTGGATCGTTAAGCTCCACTGACCACATTATCGGATTAAAATTGCTGACGAGCTGCATCCCAGCTGATACACAGTGACTGCAATTCCATCAACGCTTGGAGTTTTTCATCAAACTCGAAGAAGAGCAGCAAGCTCTATGTCCTGATGACAGTCACCCTCATGAGGCACAACTATCATATTAACTAACATTTCAAAAGTCCCGAATCCACGTTACGGAGCTCTTCAGTATCGATCTAATTGAGAATCTCGCAACTTTCCTGGAAATTATCTACGAGGGTATGGGAGAGTGTCCCCCTACCAAAAAAAAAAAAACCCAACCCCAAGGTCTAGGATAGTCCTCTGGGCAAAAATGATTTAGATCTTAGAACATAAATGGGCATCCAAAATGTGCCCAGGAAAGAAAAGAATGAAGCAGTTTGGGGTTTCCTAGATAGAGAAGGCAACTCGGGCAAAAACAGACTAGGAAACTGTCCTCCTTTGAAGGAGCCTGGCTGATGGGCTGAGTGAGATAGCGCAGCTCTGCGATTCTTGTGCTCACTGAATTTGGATGTAACTACTATCTGTCCGAATGTCCCTCTCAACTTAAATGATGGTTCACGCGTTGGTAATGCAGACGGGGGACTTTTATAGTGAATATATAGAGACCAGCCTGCTGCCCAGACCCTCTGCAACCGTTTCCTGCTGGATGGCGATCCAAGGTGCCAATCCGACTGGCTGTGGTCACCAGGGGAACATTCTGCTTCAAAACTCAAAGTCACTCTCCATGGCAAGGGAAAGTAGGAAGTCAAGGAGTGAAACCCTTAGGCAACGAGTAGTTTCCACACGTCATCCAATCAAGATGTGATCTGGTAAGAGTTGCTGTCACAGCCTTTGGACAGCCCCGTAGGGCACAGGTCAGACCCCATTAGGAAACGCTGCTACAGACGTGGAGGTCTGATAATGACTGAATGACGCTAGACTACAGAGAGGAGACTGGACGCCCCTTCTGAAAAGGACCATTCCAAGGCTGTCAAAGTCTCACCAAGAGATCCTGCATTTGATTTAATCTTTTCTGAGGCAATAGAACAGACCTTCTAAAACTCCCATTAAGAGTTAATAAATAAATAAATAAATAAAAAGGACCATTCCAGCAGGAGCCTGAGAAAGATGTGGAAGGACAAAGTCCTTTCTCCCTGGCAAGGAAGGCCCTGGCCAAGAAGTCTAACCAGCACAGAGAGCCCCAGGTTTGGGGGCAAGCTCCTAAAATCAGCTCAACAAAAGCAAGCAGCAACTTCGCCTTCCCGGGACTGGCCAGAGTCCTTGAGTCTGGGGTGCAACTTCCCTCTTCTCCTTTATGGTGCTTTCCAGTCTGAGGGCTGCCCTTGTTCCCTTTTGGGGTGCAGGAATGTGAGATCCCTTTCTTTCATCTTCTGCGACTTTCTCCTCTCCTAAGTTCTATCATTTACCAAATCAAAGTTAAATTGCTTCACCATCATTCTTGATCATTTTGCAAAACTTAGTTTCATTTTGTAAAAACAAGCTCGGAAATGTGGGTGAAGGTGAAAACTCCAGCATCCCCCACTGACTGAGCAGGTGAGCTCAGCCCTCCCTGGTAGGGACCAGCAGGGATGCAGAGAAACTCTCTCTGCTGATGATTCCTCTGCTCTGAGGCTCTGTCAGGTTTGCCACCACCCGGAGAGGCTCACGGTGAAACTCAAAGCACAGGTCCTGGGAAAGCACCTTGCCAGATGAAAACATTATGATCACAAACGTAGGAGGAAGTTCTTTTTGTTGTTGTTGTTGGGGGTGTTGAACCACACCCAGTGGTGAGCAGGGCTCCAAGAATTTAGTATTTAGTTCCATTCCAATTTGGGTCTTATCTACTTTGGTAGAACTAAGAGCTTAGAAGATTTTTGCTTGTTTTGTTTTGTTTGGGGACCATGCCCGGCGGTGCTGAGAGCTTACTCCCGGCTCTGTGCTCAGAGATCACTCCCGGTGAGCGTGAAAGGCCATATGAGGTGTCAGGGATCAAGTCTCCGTCAGCTGTGTGCAACGCAAGTGCCTCACCAGATGTCCTGTCTCTGCAGCCTGACTTAGAATCTCTTATCACAAAAATAACTCCCAGTGAGTTTAAAAGAACACAGGCACAGCAGAATATAGTCGCAGTGAGTGGACTTGCAGGAAATGGCCTCATTTTACTAACACTACAGAGCTGGTCGTTTGAAAATCAGAAAAGCCTTAAGACGTATGTCACCTAAGCACATCACGAAAGAACTTCTGCAGATGCAAACTGTTGCTTCAGAGAAAAGCACCGAGAACTCTGAGGACCATGATCTCGATCCATCCTATTCCCAAATTCAGCCTGCAGCTGCTCGCGTCAGGGTTCTCACCTACCCAGTGCAGCCCTGGATGGCACCTTGCGAGTGGAACCAACATCTGTGCGAAAGGAACCACTGGGTAGATGAGACGCCAGTCAGCAGAGCAGCCAAAGATGCCGGGTGGGATCGAAGTTTACCAGATCCCCTCTTCCAAAGGGAGACACCAGGCTTGGCAGTATTGCAACCACCACCGAAAAACCAGACAGCGCAGCCTAAGGGTGAGTCTGAGTCCCAGGTAGTGGACTTGCTCACTGGGGGAGGTGGATATTCTTTTCTTCGGGAGAAAAACCACGTCCTGAGAGAAGTTCACTGGGAGGACAGCCCTGAGCTAGCAGCGGTTACTGAAAGTGGGCGCTTCTCAGCAAGTCAGGAGCGCCCTTCCAGAACAAGGACTTTCTCAGGAGCTCCCTCCCTTCCAGAACAAGGACTTTCTCAGGAGCTCCCTCCCTTCCAGAACAAGGACTTTCTCAGGAGCTCCCTCCCTTCCAGAACAAGGACTTTCTCAGGAGCTCACTCCCTTCTAGAACTAGCACTTTCTGGCTCGGTGGTGGTGGGGGGGGGGGGCAAAAGAAGCCAGGCAAACTGCCACATCCACCTCAAATCCAACACAGGGATCAAAAAAAAAAAGGCCTCTAGAAGCGGCACCAGGGACCCAGCGGAACGTGCCGCTGGAGAGGAGGAAGAGAGAGAGAGAGAGAGGCGCACCAGCTCGGGAACGGTTCACAGGGACCAGCTCGGGCCAGCCTGGCCGTGTCTCGCGTCTCTCACTTGCATCCTCCTCCAGCCTGCGCCGGGGATGTCCAATGCAAAAAAAAAGAAAAATCACCCAAACACACATGGAAACCCACACACATCATTTTTTGTTTGTGTGTGTGTGTGTTTCGTTTTGCATCGCAACCTAGCGGACCCCGCGCCCCCCGCCCCACCCGGGGGCGGTGGGGTGACGATGATGATGATGATGATGAGCGTAGTTACCTCCAGATCTGCCCGAGCTGCAGGACGTGGATGAGCGACTGCAGGAGCCAGATGCAGAAGGCGCAGGACGCCGAGCGGCGCCGCCGCCGGGGGGTCCCGCCGACGCCTCCTCCTCCTCCTCCTCCTCCTCCTGCGCCGCCGCCGGCCGGGGTGGCCAGGCCGGCCTTGGGGCCGCCGGGCGCGGGCCGCTGCGGCGTGCCGGGCCGCGAGTCGCCGTCGCCGCCGGGCGCCTTGCAGTCCCCCGCGCCGGCCGAGGCGGCGGCGGCGCTGTCCTCGGTGCTGAAGTCGTGCGCGAACCAGCGGAAGCTGAACGCCTGCACGGCCAGCGAGCCCAGCAGCGCGAAGAAGAGCGTGAGCCCGAACCACCAGCGCTGCCCGCGCGCGTAGTAGTCGGCCGCCAGCCACACGTCCGTGCCCACGTCGGCCAGGTACACGGCCACGGCCGCCAGCACCCACAGGCCGTCCCACGGCGAGTAGCGCCGCCGCTCGCGGCCCCGGCGCGGGCACAGCGCCGAGCCCGCGCCCGCGCCGACGCCCCCCGCGCCGATGCCCCCCGCGCCGATGCCGATGCCCCCCGCGCCGCCTGCTCCCGCGGCGCCCGGCGAGGAGGAGCCGCCGCCGCCGCCGCCGCCGCCGCAGCAGCAGCCGCCGCCGCCCCCCGCCGGCCCGCCCGCGCCCCCCCGGCCCCGACGGCCCCGCGCCCACGGCCGCCAAGCCCGGCGCCGAGCCCGAGTGCTCCGAGTCCTGCAGCGGCGTGAACGCCACGTCGCTGCCGCCGCTCCTCTTGCGCTTCGGCCGCCCGTCCGACTTCGCGGCCATGATGCCTCCCGAGCGGCCGGCCGCGCGCCCGCAGCCCGCACCTGGGCGCGCGCCGCCGCCGCCGCCGCCGCCTCCTCCTCCTCCTCTTCCTCCTCCTCCGCGCGAGGATGCTGCTGCCGCCGCCGCGCCCCGCCGCCGCCGCCGCCGCCGCCGCCGCGCCCGGCCGAGCGCCCCCTGGTGCCCGCGCGCGCCCCCAGCAGCAGCAGCGCACTCCGCGGGAGAGGATGACCTCATCCCTTCCCGCCAGCCGCGCCCCCGCCCCGCGACGGCGAGGGGGGCTGCGGAGGAGGAGGAGGAGGAGGAGGAGGACCACGAGGAGGAGGAGGAGGAGGGGCCCCGCGCCCAGCACCGCCGCCCCGCTCCACGCCCCACCCCGCGTCCCAGCGCGCGCGCGCGCGCGCATCCCTCCCTCTCCACGCACCGCCCTCCGTCCCTCCCTCCCACCCCGGGGTGGGGCAGGGCGCCCAGAAAGGGGGTCCCGCGGGCCACGCGGAGGAAAACGGGGGCCGCCCGGGCCAGTGACACGCAGGAGCGGGGGGCGGGCGGTCGCCCGTGAGACGACGCGCGCGGGGGAAAGGGGTCCGCCCCGTGCCGTGCTCACGGAGGAAGGCGGTCCTCGCGTGCCGTGCACCTGGAAAAAAAAAAAAAAAGAAAAGAGGTCCGCGCGTGCAAGAACACGGAGGGACGGGGGCACGCCCGTGCAAGGCACGTGGAAGAAGGGGGGTCCGCGCGTGCAAGGAATGACACGGAGGAACGGGGTCCCGCGCGCGCGCAAGGCACATGGAAGAACGGGGTCCCGCGCGCGCGAGGCACACTGAAGAATGGGGTCCTCGCGTGCAAGGACACGGAGGAACGGGGGTCCCGCCCGCCCGTGCAAGGCACATGGAAGAACGGGGTCCCACGCGTAACGCGCAAGGCACGTGGAAGAAGGAGGTCCGCGCGTGCAATGAATGCACGGAAGAACGGAGTCCCCCCGCGTGTAATGCACACTGAAGAACGGGCTCCGCGCGTGCAATGAATGCACGGAGGAACGGGGGTCCTGCCCGTGCAAGGCACACACACGGAAGAATGGGGTCCGCGCGTGCAGCGCGCACGGAGTTCGGGGTTCCGCGCGTGCAGTGCGCACGGAGGATGGAGTGGGTACTCCCGGGGGTGGGGGCAGGAGGATGAGGGAGAATCGGGGCTCTACGAAGGCTAGCGCGGGGCGCCAGGGGTCTGCGCGCACAGCCGAGCTGAGAGCGGCTGGCCAGCTGCCGGTGGGTGTGCCCAGCCCGAGCCACGCACGCCCCCGGGGACCCGAGGCCCCACCGGGATCCCAGAATCCGGCCCCGGGCGCGCCCGGCTTCTGCCCACAGACCGGGACGCCCAGGCACAGAGAAGAGGGGGATCCCGCAATCTGCTCCCGCAGCAGGGGATGCTGCCACAGCGGCAGGCACCGCGGGGTGCAGGGCGCTGGGGCCCCCCCGGGACCCCGACAGGTGGGCGGCGGGGCGGCCCGGGGGCAGGGACTGGGCGGGCGGGGCTGGGGGCGGTGCCACGTCCCGCACACACCCCTCGGCGCTACCTTCTCTTAAAGCTGTAGAAGCTGCCACCGCGTGAGGTCCAGCCAGCACAGAGGTGAGCCTTATCCCCGGTCCAGCTGTGGTTCCAGAGGGCGTGAAGAGAACCGTACAGCGTAATCCTCAGCTTTGCGGATGGGAGCCGGCTCAGAGCCCCTCGTGGTCCTGTGGAAATCATCCTTCCTGGCGAGACCCCCCAGAGCACAGAGGCGGGGGGCGGGGAAATCCCCGAGCACTGTCAGGCGTGTGTCCCCCCAAATAAAGCGAAGCAGAATTAAATTCAAAATAAAGAATATAAAGAGTTTCAACCTTTGGGAAGATTCCATTTACAAGTCAATACAAACATCCTTCCCCCTGTAAAAAAAATTATAAATTTGTCTCACTGAAGTTTTGCAAACGTCAGCCAGGGAGCGTAAATCCTAAATTACACCGTGACCCACATTTTCAAACACCAGAGGCCAGTGAGCTACACAACACGTGTTGTACAAGCAACAAGATCAATAAGAGCGCCAGAGGTGGGTTTGTGAATCCTGCGACACATACTGGACCTTGCCACCTCCCTTAGGGTAGCGGCAGACGTAGTCCAGGGGCACAGTCTGGGGCTTTTTGTTTGTCTTTTAGTCTGCCCTTCTTCTGCTTTCAGATTGAAGGCCCTGGGCATTGTGGTCAGTCCTTGGCCTTTGCTTGAGAGAAGTCCTTTGCCAGGGAGGATGTGGGACCCTAGAGCCAGGAAACCTGGCATTGCGTGTGCAAATCCGTTATTTCTCGTTGCCATAGCCAAGAGGCGAAGGGTCAGTGCGTCATCTCTGATCCACTCCGTATACCAGCTCACGCATTCGAACAGAACTGTCTTCTGGAAGGAGGAAAATTTGGGGGGGAAACAGACTGCTGACTCGTATCTCCCATCCCCCAGGTTTGACTAGAAGATTCTCTCTCCAGGGCACTCCCTTTGCTCTTTGCGCTAAACCCCTGGGGAGAAATGATCTCTAGGTAACCAGCCCCCTGGGCCAGAGTGTATTCTAGGTCAACTGCGATGCAATTGCAGCAGTTAGAGGCCTGGAAAAGGTCCCAAAGGAGCCAGGCTCTGGGGCCCCCAACTCACCCTGCTCCTTGGAACAGGGTGTTTCTTATTCCCTTGCAGCCCCAGTGCCTAGCACATCACCTGCCCAGACTTTCTTGCTCAATAACTATTACTTGAATTAAGGGCACGGATTTACGAACAGAACGTTCCACCATAGGGGGGAATACTACATGCTGTACTAACTAGTGTTTCCATGGAAACATAGGAATTATAAGACTTATCCTATTAAGTACTGAGCAAAAAAAGGACTAGTAACTCTTTCCCTATGAAAATACCTATTCAAAACTCCGGCTCCATGCAGTTTGTCTCTGGGTTCTGTCTGGAAGCGTTTTCTGGAAAGGGGCATGGGAGTGAATGGAAGGACACAGCCAAGTAGGTCACGGATGAGTGTCGCGGCCACGCTCTGCTGCGGCCGTGTGTCTGACCTTAGCAAATTACTTAATACCCAGGATTAAAGTGAGGAGCAGATAAAATCATGCCCGTTCCTGTGTATAAGATTGTTCCAGGGAGTCTCTAATCCCCTAAATGTATGATTCACCTCTCTGGGTGCAGGTCTACATATCACCTGCACTGTGGAATTCACTTTACCTGTCAAGACCGACAGACAGAATTGTTGAGAGCTCAAAGTTTGAGTCAGGTCTCGGGCATATTCCTAAAACCTCACCACACACACACATGTGCATGTTTATTATTTGGAAAATACAAATGATAGCAATCTCCAGCATTTGGTGTTCGGAAGAATAAGCAAAATGGTATTATTTTTAAAAAAACATGAAGCATGTGAGTTGGTAATATTGTGTCAAAAACAGCCAGTACATCACAGAGTGCTAATTTGATTTATTTAGTCATTTTGATTTGGGGAAGCTATACCAACCCTGGGTAGTGCTCAGGACTTATCCCTGACTCTGTGCTCAGGGATCACCCCTGCAGGGGGTGGGGTGGGGGTGCATTGCAGTGCCCGGGACTGAAGTACAGTCAGCTGCATGCAGGGCGAGTGCCTTAGCCCCTGTACAATCTTTCTGACCCTGATGTTAATACTATTCACGTATCTTTCATTTCCTTTTAGCAATTTGTGTGTGTGTGTGTGTGTGTGTGTGTGTGTGTATTTCTAAGCCTTTATGCTTAGCTAACTGATTTTCCCTAAAACAAAAGTTCCTCACACCATAGTCCTCAGAACCCCCTCCACCCCCTGTCAGAATTCGTTCTCTTTGTTTTTAATCCAGACGTGGGTTTTTTTTTTGTTTGTCTTTGTGTTTTGTTTTTTTTTTTTGGTTGTTTTTTTTTTCTTTATTTTTTCTCTTTTGGGTCAAACCCAGCAATGCAACCCAGCCAGAGGTTACTCCTGGCTCAAGCACTCAGGAATTACTCCTGGCAGTGCTCAGGGGACCATATGGGATGCTGGGAATTGAACCCGGGTCGACTGTGTGCAAGGCAAACACCCTCCTGCTGTGCTATTGCTCCAGCCCCTAATCCAGAGTTTATATCTCTACTTTGCCTCTCTTTGTTGTGATCTTTCAAATGTCATTACTCAGCAATACTCTGAACCTTCAGAATTTGCATTTTTTTAAAAAAATAATGTAGGAGTACTGTTATTTGTTCAGCCATTGATTAAGCTGATTGAATTGGGCATGAATCCACATTACTTTGTTTTAAATTTTATCGTATCATCGTGAGATAGAGTTACAAAGCTTTCATGTTTGAGATTCAGCCATACAATGATGGAACACCCATCCCTCCACCAGTGCACATTTTCCATCACCGATGTCCCCAGTATCCTCCCACCCCCCAAGTCCCAGTCCTCACCCTGCCTCTATGGCAGACAACTTTCCCAATACTCTCTCTAATTTTAGGCATTAAGTTTTGCTTGAATTTTCCCAACATCATTCAAGCCTACCTGCCAGGGACAGACGCTAGATAGTTTCTTTTTTCCATTGCTCATTCTGAATATCATGAGAGCTCCCACAGCCACGATTGTAAATGTAAATTTCTAGATTGTCAATGGTTGGGTTCCAGAGACATCTCTGTATGGCACTAATCCATTTGGGGATTCCACTGGGAGTCTCTGGGCCAGGGCTGTTGGTGTGCAGCCGGTCAGAATCTGCATTTGTCAGGAATCAGCTACATCTCCTTTCCCATCCGTTCACCCCTCCCTACCCTCCTCTTTCTCCCTGCTGTTTGAATGTCAAGACTAACCACCTCCCACCCTCCCTGCCATGCCTCTCCATCTGTCTACTGTCTTCCCAACCTGACGAAACACCAACCCTGCCTCGCCCTACTCTCCACCAGCCACAGGGTGAGAGTCTGTGCCGGCAGGCGGAAGCCACGAGCACTATTTCCCTTCAACCTTTGCTTCTGTCCTACTGCTTTTTGTTCATGTGTTTATGGGGCACCGCCAGCAGTGCTCAGGTCTTCCTCCTGGCTCTGCCCTCAGGACTC